TCCGTGCGCCTTCAGCGGTGAGTCATGCCGGCCACATGACCACGGAGACGTCTTCGGACAGCGCTGGCTCTTCGGCTTTGAAACGGAGATGAGCACCGCCCCCTAGAGTCAGGAAAGACTAGCACACATGTGCAAGAGGAACCTTTACCTTTATTCATGCTCGCTTCTCTAGTTCTACAAAAGTGTACAAAATTGAGGTGGGGAGTAAATTCACAATCCTGGGCTGATTCTCTGCTCTTTGCTTTGTTCCAGGCCCTGCTGAAGGTGCTGGTGGACGAACGAGAAAAGGCCTTGGAGAAGCAGCATGTCTCTGCAGTTGAGAAGCAGGCGCAGAAGTGTGAAGAGCTACTCAATGCTCAGGTAATCATCTCCTTTTAACGACCCCATAATCCCTTGCGGGGTGAAGTATGGGCAACTGAATGAGTGTTTACTGGCCGGATGCCCATCCTGTCGCCAGTGCGGAGTTCAGTGCTCAGGTAATCATCTTCTTTTAATGACCCCTAATCCCTTGCGGGGTGGAGTTTGGGCAACTGAATAGAGCTGAGTGCTTACTGGCCGGATGCCCGTCCTGTCGCCAGTGCGGAGTTCAGTGCTCAGGTAATCATCTTTTTAAACGACCCCATAATCCCTTGCGGGGTGGAGTTTGGGCAACTGAATGGAGCTGAGTGTTTACTGGCCGGATGCCCATCCTGTCGCCAGTGCGGAGTTCAGTGCTCAGGTAATCATCTTCTTTTAATGACCCCATAATCCCTTGCGGGGTGGAATTTGGGCAACTGAATAGAGCTGAGTGCTTACTGGCCGGATGCCCGTCCTGTCGCCAGTGCGGAGCTCAGTGCTCAGGTAATGCCCCGTTTTATTTACAAAAGAGCTCCTTCCAAAGTCAGAACGAAAACGTTTTGCCTTTGGGGTTATCTGATCCTTTGCCGTGGTAGGACAACCTGCAGATCTATTGACCTTTAACCCCTTTAGCTGAAGGGTCCACCTGTATACTTCTCCAGTGCCGTGAAACCATCCAAAATAGGAATTGGCTGCCAAACACCTGAATTTTGATCACGTGGCCAAGGGGATGCTGCAACTATCTTTGTTTGTCTTGTTACACAGGTAGTCCTCGACTTACAACAGTTTGTGAAGGCAGGACAGGAAGCAATAGATGGCAACTAATCAAGGAGAGAAGCAACCTAGAACTTAGGAGACAATTCCTGATAGTTAGAACAATTAATCAGTGGAACGACTTGCCTCCAGAGGTTGTGAATTCTCCAACACTGGAAGTTTTTAAGAAGATGTTGGATAACCAACCATTTGTCTGAACGGGATGGGATTGCTCTCCTCCTAACAGCAGAGGCAAAATGGTAGAGGTTAGGGGCGAATCTGGGGGCGAAAAAGGGGCAGCAAAGAGTAATGGGAGAACAATCCTAGACCCTGTCTGAAGTGATGTAGGGTTTCCTACCTGAGCAGAGGGTTGGACTAGAAGGCCTCCAAGGTCCCTTCCAACTCTGTTATTCTGTTATTATTTAGGGATCATTCAAAGTTACAACAGCACTGAAAAAAGTGACTTAATGACAATTTTTTCACCCTTACTACCGTTGCAACATCCCCATGGTCATGGGATAAAAATTCAGATGCTTGCTAACTGTGTCATAATTATGACAGCCTGACAAGCAAATTCAATGGGGAAGCCACGTTCATTTAACAACCCTGTTGCTAAGCTAACAACGTCAGTGATTCACTTAGCAACTGTGAAAGGAAAGGTTGGTAAAATGGGGAAAAATTCACTTAACAAACGTCTCACTTAGCGAGAAATTTGGGGATCAATTGTGGTCGTAAATCGAGGACTACTTGTACTTCCGAAACCTGTGGGCCTCAGGTATTAGCAGAATTGTACAGGAAAAATATACACGGTCACAGTTCAGGAACACATTCGGACTCCGGGTAAAGGGTGCATCCACAGGCTGAATGGTTTCGTAGATGAATGCAAACACGTTGAATTGCAACCAGAAACGAACAGCAATAAGTATGGCTGCTGTACGATATATATGCACAATTTTGTCTTTTTCCATCTTCCTAAAAGATCTTGTGTACAAATGTTGATTTACCAAAGATATGATGGGCGCTGGAAGTCAGTATCATTGGCCATGGCTTATGGAAGATTACAAGTTAGAATGAAGAATAAATAAATGAAGAGGATGGATGGATGGATGGATGGATGGATAAGGGAAGGTGGGAGGACGGAAGGAAGGGAAGGTAGGTAGGTAGGTAGGTAGGTAGGTAGGTAGGTAGGTAGGTAGGTAGGTAGGTTATATCTCTATGCAATGAAGATAGCAATAGCAATAGCAGTTAGACTTATATACCGCTTCATAGGGCTTTCAGCCCTCTCTAAGCGGTTTAGAGAGTCAGCATATTGCCCCCAACAACAATCCAGGTCCTCATTTTACCCACCTCGGAAGGATGGAAGGCTGAGTCAACCCTGAGCCTAGTGAGATTTGAACAGCTGAAGTAGCCTGCAGTTCTGCAGTTCAGCTGAACTGC